AAATGATTATAGCCAACTCGGCGCTATGCGCCTCGTAGGCTATCTATCATCTCATATCCAACGTGCCCTCGTGGAATAATTGTTAAATATACCGAGGACTTCGTTATATCGAGGTTCGTTATATCGAGGTTCCAGTGTAAGCCTCAAGTTGAGACGACGGAGTCACTTGTACGAAGGAGAAAGAGAAATAGGCCTCACCCCTCTCCCCAGGTTTTGACTACTGCCTCTATTCGCTCATTCCCATCGCTTTGAATCTCGCCTTATCCACACCCCCTCAGTAATGGAGAAACGAAATGGTTCTCAATCAATTCCGTCTACGATAGTTCTATACCAAGTCTGTGTCTAATAGGACTGAACTGAACTTGAAAACTCTGAAAGCTTCGGCTACTTTGGTCTCTGTGCACATATCAACAAACCTGTATGTTATATTTACTTTTCATCATTTGTTAACCTACTGATTCTGTAAGCCGTCTTATACTGTACCAACTTGAATAGCGCGAAATTAACTTGAACTTGAACTTGACTGACATCCCACATCCCAATCAATAGGTCTGTTATTTTGTATAAGAAGTGGAGTAATTGTGTAATTGCTCGGAGGTGGGGGGGGTTGTATTTTGTCCTTCATCAAATTCAATCAATCAATCAATCAATCAATCAACTTTATTTAAACACGGTAAATGGCTCAGCAAGCTGGTTTTCAGACATGCCGTGTGATAATTACAATTTATAAAAATTAAGACTAGTGATTAACTAACAATACAATATAAAAGCAAGAAATGAGTATTAGAAATAAGATAAAAACATGATAAAAGTTATATTCAAAAGTTAAATTCATCAAATCTCCCGTTCATCATCCGATTCACAGTCCCCTATTTTTCCGTAAGATCGTCGGGATCGAAGACTCTGCGTTACGGACGGCCATCTTAGATAGGTGAAGCCCGACGCCCGCTCCCTCAGTTCATGTGAAACCGAGATAACCGTCCGTTCCGGTAAGCTAGCGCTCTATCCTGTCGATCTTACGAAGAAATAGGGGGCTGTGAATAGTCTAACTTCAGATAAAAAAAAATTTCATTCAAAATCCATCTCTTGTTGTAGGATAAATTGTTAGGCGGAAATGCTCTAAGATTTCTTGGATTGAAAAGGTCACAGTTTGACGAAGACCCTGCGGATAAAGCTGATACAGTAGAAAGCTAATAGTGCAGCGGACTGAATAATTAAATGTGTTTCTGTTAGTTATGTCATGAATTAGCGTTTTAAAAGTGAACAGACTATTATGTCTATAAATGCATTTAGAAGGAGGTTATTTATAATTTCGTTTGTTTTTCGGCATCTTGGTGTCTTGGTTTTTCAAAAGAGCCTTACCGAAGGAAACAAGTCTAAAATGTGTTAATTATTTAAAAAATATTCTTATTTATTCGTAACAATTTGTGTTCTTTATTTTAAGGACTATGACATACATGTTAATGCGTTATTTAAAGCGGTTAAGAATGGCTTTACAGTAAAAGTTAAAAATATTTATATAGTTCAAGTGCAGAACGCAGTTGATGTTAAGCGCATTGTTACTCGATTAACCTTGTTTCAGCTCAGTGAAGGTCAGTCTCGATCCTCAAACGGAAGTCATGAAGCAATTAACTACAGTGGAACCCCGTCAATGCGATCACCGTTGGGCTATAAAATGCTGATCGTAATAATGGGGTGGTCGCTTTAATGGGCGATTTTCAAAACAATAAAAAAATAAGTCAGTGATTTCTACCTTTGAATCGTGAGAATATTGTGGTAATAACGAGGTGGTCGTATGGTGGGGCTCCACTATGTTGCTATTAAATCATTAGGCAAATTACGTTTGTACTTTAACATAATTCATCAGTGTACATGTATTTGTAGTTGTGAGATTAGCGAGTGGAAAGCATGTCAGACAATATGGAATGGGTTAGAGAAACCAAAAGTCACTCGTCTTAGGGTGTTCGCATTGCACGACTTAGTTGAGTAGAAAATAGTAATAAAAGGTATAAAAAAGTTGTAATCCATTTTCATTTTTTGTTTTGCTGTTTTAAGGCTGGTTTACACGTAGCAATTGTAGGCACGATTTCCAAATAAAATATATGGTGATGCAACAGTTTACTTTAATCTATCCGGTTTTTGGCCAGTTTTTATCTTTTCGTTTTTCTTTCGAAAAATCATAGTGTGAAAACCGGCTTAAAGCTCTCCAGTTACAAGAGCAAGTTCCTTCTTCCTCCGCCATTGCTGCTTAAGCTCTATTATGTTACTTGCTGCTTGACTCACAATTTTGTTATCGCTCAGTGAGGACTGGCTGCCTCTAACATAAATAACTCGCTACTGTTTTGCAGCAAGTATACGTTTCAAAATGTAGGGTCACGTTCTCCATTATGTAACATCCGCTACAGCTAAAATAAGAACGAAAATGGGGAGGCCGCCCCGAGGATTAACCCATTAACCCTTAACATATCATTTTTGACAGAAAAGACGGGGTACCCTTTCGTATCCCGTCTATTGGCCTGAACCAATGTCGGCAAACACCGTAAACGCCGCATAAGTCCTCCTCTTCAGTTATGGGCCCATAAGCCCCACTGGGTATAATAAGCTCCTCTCTTGCTTGAACTGAATTGAATTCGCATCGGGAGAAATGGCCATTGTTCTCGGGACATTTACTTACAGTCGGTTAAAGCTTCTAGGTCTGTCATATCGTTTATTGTTATTCTAAAATGCTGAACAGGAGTCTTTTTCATTGGTTACCATGAACGCGCGGCAGTACTCTTCATCTTGGAGTAGGCGGGTGAAACTAACAATAGCCCAATCTCTCTATTGTTTTCCCTTTTGTGAGGCCAGATCACACCTTAACGCATTTTAATTACTCCTTACAGATAACTGACTTGAAGATGAGTCGAAAATTTTAGTTTCGTTTCCTCGCTTTAAAGTTTGTAAGACGGCGGTAGAGAAAAAGTGGAGTCAAAAATAAGCCAGTTTGCCTTTAATAAATTACATGTGAGCGAAGATAACGCATAACTAGAGTGATCAGTGCGAAGTTTAGAATCGGCCCTCTCGCATCGGAAGTTAGTCTCCTGAATACACCCGTCGGACGCGCAATAAAGAGATCGAAGTCAAAAAAAGAGGGACGTTTAATATAGACAACGATAACAAGAAATAGCGCTCACTCTATAAAGAGAATTGGAGGCTCTATGTAAATTTTCAGTCGAAAACAGAGTCGAAAATGGTGATATTTGCGCAGATGAAACCGCCAATAACCAATCTGAACCTAGATAAGCTTATAACGTAACCGAAACTGTATAACTATGTAGTTAAGCGTGAATTAGATATGTTGAAAACAATTTTGTCGGAGTAGCAAACGCAAGCCGCAAGTGCTCTGATGTCTTTAAATTTCGCGCGCGACTGGCTTCTCAATATTGTCTGCTGTTCAAAGCGACCCTGTATTGTTTTTTCATGGCAACCATCGTTTCGACTAAGACAATGACTTCTCTCCGACTGCGCGCTAACTTTAAACGTTATATTTTCAAAACTTAAAAGTCTGCAACTTAATCGAGTCAAATTTTCGCGAAAAAGCTATCCACGTGTAGGTAAGGCCTTTGTCTTAAATAATCCTCTCTATAATCTGAAGATTTCTGATTTTTTTGAAGAAATTCGATGTTTAACTTGGACAAGGGTCGTTTTCTATACTGAAAATATTGTAAAAAGTCTGATTTTCGATGTTTAAAGTCTGCACCCAATTCTCATTTACTTTACTTAAAATTTAGCTGGAATGATAGATTAATGCTTTAACTTAAAGAATCCGCTCTATAATGTTAAAGAATTCATCTTTTTAAGCACCGAAATGACGATTTTAGTCACTCTGCTGAGCCAAAATCGCTTGTTTTCTCTATTATTATGCCGCTTTCTTGGCACATTCATGCCTGATTAGCCCACCTCAATGACTCATTGATATGGGTAAATGTCCGACTATTTCTCCCGATGATTTATAGCCTTAATTAACGACCAGTAAATGCAAAAACATCTATTTTGATCAGCAATCCTACAGCTTATTTCGAAGCGCTTTTTCTATGCCATCTATAGGCCCCCTCGGATATTAAAGCCTTTCCGTTTGTACGCCTTTGTATAAGCAACAGTTTATGGTAATAGTTAAATACTGAAGACGCTCTGTTAAGAATAAGCCACATTTAACAGGACTGGATGTAACTCGATGTCGATGAACTTTGTGTCCGGCACCAACCATACAAACGGTCTAGACCAATAAAATTTCGCGCGACTTTGAGCACCTATATCTTCGTCACTTTTCAACAAATCACTGTCAAAACTTGGCAATTTTGCTAATTTTAAGGCCTTTTCTTTTCAGTGGTGCCAACTGCTTAACTTCTCTATAGCAAAAGTTGACAAAAAGAAAAGAACGTGGAATAGTCTTTCCTGAATTGAAAGCTGTACCCTGTTGGGAAGAACCTCCCCGTATAGGTTATTGTAGGGAGCCCCCCCCAACTTCCCACCCCTTCTCCAAGGTATAAGATATGGGTGTTTAAAAATAAACACACTAACACAAGACACGTTGAGGCTTGTTTAGCTGGAGCTTAATGGAGCCGCCACTTTTTCTGATATAACAACATAACATAGCCAACTTGGACTGAAGGCAAAGTATTATTTTTGGCGCACTATAGAGGAAAGGCATCGGGTACCGTTAGAAACGCAAAGTCGTGATAGCATGCATAAAACTTTGTTGCTTTTGTAACAATTTATGTTCTGTAATTTATTTTTGGAATGTTCATCTTTTGACCCTGTTTCAGTACTCTGAAGCTGGCTTATAAACAGAGAATAAGAAGATGCAAAAAATTGCCATAAAAGGAAAAACAAACAAGCAAAAACAAACAAACAATATACAGGAAAAGAGGTTCTACTTAAAATATTTGCTATAAAATGAATGAGCACGTAGCACTGATTTCAGGAAACGCTAGCTGTGTTCTCGTTCCATTCTCACCGCCATGGTTCAGTATTTCGCTGTTTTCCTGATTCTCTCTTTTTTTGGCGGCTCTGTGGGAACAACCACCTCACCTCAGCAACGAAACGATTCAAAGTTAAAAGACTTATGCCAGGTAAGAAATGCATAGAGATATAAAAAAGGAGAATTGCGCCGTAGATTAGGTACACCCAGAAACTATTTTACTAGTCTCACGTCGTTATGATTATTTACTAAATAGTACACATTAAAAGTGTATGGCAGTTGATTTAAAAGTCCTCGCTTCAGCATGATCTTTCCTCGAAAACCTGATGCCTGTCCATTGTTAACTGTAAATTTTCTCTGATTCCATCCAAGTCCATTCGAGGCGAGATAACGCTTTAACTTTAACAGTAGCTAGAAACCTAGACTCATGGTTTGATGAGCAGCTCACTATGTCAACTCATATTAGCAAGTTATGTGGTGTTGCCTTTTACCGTTTGCATAATATCAAACGCATTCGCAAGTATTTGTCTCGAGAATCAACGGAAAGCCTTGTCCATGCATTTATTACGTCTCGTGTTGATTATTGCAACAGTCTTTTGTATGGGCTGCCCAACTACCAGCTTAACAAATTGCAGAGAGTTTTGAATGCCTCAGCCAGGCTAGTTTTTAATGCCCCTAGGTTTTGCCACATCTCACCCCTTCTTCGTGGTCTGCATATTGGCTTCCTGTTAAAGCCCTGATACAATTTAAGATACTGCTTATTACGTTTAAAGCAATTCACGGCCTTGCTCCTAAATATCTACGCGATTTACTAATAATTAAATCGTCCTTATATAACCTTGGATCTTCAGGTAGTATTTTCCTTTCTATGCCAGCCGTTCGATCGAAGACGTTAGGTGATAGAGCTTTTATGGTAGCAGCGCCAAGGCTCTGGAACTCTCTTCCAAAAGAACTTCGTGCGATTACTAATGTGAACAGTTTTAAGGCGCATATTAAGACTTATCTTCTTAGAACTTTATATTGGTGAGCAATTTTATATTCAGTTCTTACTTGCATGCATATATATTCTTTTTATTTTTTTATTTTTAAATGCATTATCTTTTATTTGTTTCTTATAAAGTAATGCAGTTGTAATAAGCAGCTGATCATTCTCATGTTAAGCTGGGCACAATAAGTTCATAAATTATTGTTATTATTATTATAATTATTATAATTATTATTATTATTATTATTATTATTATTATTATTATTATTATTATTATTATTATTATTATTATTATCAAATAGGATTATGAAGTCCAAGGTCCATTCCGTGCCTCGAAAACAAGGGAGACGGCTTGCGGGTACAGACTTTGTTCATTTTGATGTGGAATCATTGTTTGCGAGGGAGCTACGGGCGTGTATGAACGTATTTATCGTTTCAATTCCAAATGAGAAGGAAAGAGAAATAATTATGCGAATTCTTTTTCGTTGCTGTTCTTAATCTAAGCAGGAGCCGATTACTCCTGATCTAAGTAATGGTGACATTCATAATTTCTTAGAGACAAGGTCTGAAAACTGGTGTGGATTTTAGAGTCTGAAAACGACTGTAAAAAATGACGTGTTTTGGTCTGAAATAGAGTCAGGATTTGGGGAACCGGGCGGCACATCCCCACCAAAAATTCCCTGGAGTAAATCCCCCCCCGACTCATTTACAATCGTCTTTGCTAACTACAAGTCATCTTTACTTTCAGCGATCTATGCTGGGTTTCCCTGGTATTCCAGGATCAAATGGGATACCGGGAGTGCCGGGCGTCCCGGGGCCACACGGACCCCAGGGAAGAGAAGGTGTAAAAGGACAAATTGGTGATAAAGGATCACAAGGAATGCCGGGTCCAAGAGGAGACAGAGGGCGTGAAGGCCCTCCTGGGAAGAGTGGACCCCGAGGAATAAAGGGAATGAAAGGAGAGCCACGCAGCATTGCGGGAATGAAAGGAGACAAAGGAGCTGTGGGAATGAAAGGACAGCGAGGCATTGTGGGAAATTCAGGAAGAAAAGGAGACAAAGGAGAAAAAGGAGAAAGCGCCAAAGCAAGTCATGCAAGTGTAGTACCACAAACCAACTGGAAACAATGTGTTTGGAAATCACAGAGCAGTACTAATAAGGGAAAGATTAAGGTAATTAGGATGAGAATCATGCACTCCAAAGGAAAGTAATTCCTTTCTAAATTACAACATTTCTTCCCTCTCACTCACCGTTTGCCAACACATTACATAAATAACTAAGTTACATTTCCCTCTACTTTGGTTCTTTTTGAATGAAAAAAGGAAAACCGTCGTGCGTGATAAAATGATTCCAGGCCATATGGATAAGGACAAGAAGAATTGAAGCTATAACAGAGTTTTTAAACATTAGGAAGTAATCTTGACTGGAGTTGTTAGTATCAATCATTACACACGGTTGCTCGCCTTACTACAATATGTTTGATTTGTTTGATTTTATTTTAGGACTGTGCGTTTAACAAACTGCAGTCTAATTCAGCCCTCAGAGTCTCATTCCAGGGCAACATGAGGGTCTATGGTAGTAGCAGGTGTAATCGCTGGTATTTCAAGTTCAATGGAAATGAATGCAGTGGACCAATGACCATTGAAGCTGCTGTTTACAACTACTGGCCATCTGAGAGCCAAAATCTGCTGCATCATCGGTCATTTGAGGGGTACTGTGAAAACATCCCACAAGGCGCGGTTAGAGTGGAATTATGGGTAGGGCTGTGTTCTGGCTACAACTCGGGTGATACTCGCACTGGGTGGAATTCGGTGTCCCGGATAATGATTGAAGAAGTATCTAGGCCCCAGTCCTAATAAGGGGAGTCTTGAACTTTAGCGCTGTTTTAACTTCCTCTGAATAGCATTCTACAAATATAGACTGTAAAGCGCAAGGTGCGAAAGTATTATTTTTGGTTATTTTCTTTTTAGCCCTTTGAGGCTACTTTCGTCGTATTTGATTGTCAATAGTAAACTCTTACTGAACAGTACCAAAATGTTGTATTATTATGTTGACATGTTAGTCCTATTCATGCACTTTATTCAGCAGTTATTTGTTTTGTCACGCAGCGCTTCTCTAGCTCCTTTGTGTGGAGGCACCATTTGTGTCGACACAATAATGGGCTAAGCGCGTAGGGAATTGATCCCCATGCAGCCGTTTTGTGCTATCACGCAACGTTCTTTCCCGTTGCGTGATGAGACAAAATTGGCTGCGATGGAGAGCAATTGATTGGCAATGCTTTTTTTATATGTTATGGATACAAAATATATCACTACAGCCTCAGGGCAACTCATTGTCTCTTGGGTTACCATGACTGTATACCGTCAGATTGTCGTTCATTTTCTTAAGTTTATAAAATATGTAGTGAAAGTAAAGGTCGTGATATAATCTTTCATCTCAGAAAAAATAAATAAATAAATAAATAAATAAAAAAAACTGCTGAAAAGATAATCTTTACCTTCAAAATATTTTTAACAAATCTTTAGTTAAATCTTTAATTAAAGCAAGATTCCTTTTGTAGCTAAACCGCGTCGAGGAAGTTTAACCATAATCAAATCGGATTAAAATTTTGAGGATTAAAATCGCCCCTTGTAAATTTTATAACAATTAGCTAGGAAGAAGAAGATGATTAAGGGATAACTTGATTATCTCCAGCCCACGTGGCAGGCCTTCGAAAGGATTAGGCGCGAGACCGCACGCGAGGGAGAAGGGAGGTGAGGAACGTGTTCCCCTTCCTTCTTCCTCGAGCGCCCGTCGTGCTTCTCAGGCGCCCCAAATCCTCTTTTCCTTCTCTTTGAAACGCCTGCAACGGGGCTACGTTATCTCTAAAACAATTGTAAAAAATGGAACGTCTTACTGGTAACATTGAGATTCTTGTAAAACCTTCCGAATTCTTTAATAGCATCTCAGTTATATTTCTTTTATGTCATTTCAGTTTGCTGCAATATATGTGTCATGATTAAAGCTTTGAATAAAAGACTGTGTCTTACAGTATGCACAAATCTTGTCCATTATTTTTCTTAACAGACGAGATTGAACTCCTTATGTCGGCTCCTTAACAGATAAATTTCCGTACAGTCTCACAATATCGATTTATCCAATGCAGCCATTTGCAGCCTTGCCTGTTCGAGTGCATTTATAAAGAAAGAAGTAACTTGAAGTTCCTGGAGTTTCTTAACTTAGAAAATGGGAGGGGGAGGGGTCACAATCATTCGGATACCTAAATCATCAGTGCCGTATGGGGAGGGGGTCACAATCATTCGGATACCTAAATCATCAGTGCTGTATGGGTATACCCAGTAAGGGATACCGTATGGGTATACCCAGTAAGGGATACCGTATGGGTATACCCAGTAGAGGATACCGTATGGGTATTCCAGGTTCGATCCCGGTAGCCGGTAGGGGATGCCCATACAGCAAGTTATATCAAGTTAAGTTATGCCGGACCGTCGCAGCACGAACTTCCGTCAAGAGTACAATTCCTTTTAATTAGCAAGGCTTTTATTGCTTTGAACGTTTTTATTCCAAAGGTTTAACTACTTTATCCTTTTCTGTGTGTTTTTTTTTTTTATTTTTATGGTTTCCTTGAAAATACAGACAGTTTTGTCTTAGCCTGATAGGAACTGATCGGCCTTGGAGAGTCACAGCATGAAAATGGAGATTTACGCAGAATTAAAGTTTGCGTAAACCTGCGTAAAGTTGGTCATCCAACTTTACGCAAACTTTCCACGGCGCGCAAAGGTTTGTAAAGGTAAATTTACGCGCTCGGCCCTTAAAGTTTTCGTAAAGCTAGCATAAAGTTGTTGTAACAGCTTTACGTTCATTTACCGACATGTAAAGGCTTAGTAAGGTTGTCATATAATGCTACCTTCCTAATGAGGAATTTAATCCCGGCACTGTTTTTAGTAAGTCGTTTGTTTCCTGACACTAGTTCGCATAGTTTTTTTGATCACTCAAGACATTTGGTGTTCGATGTTGGTGTGCGATGTAAACAAGCCAACCACGCAAATTGTTTTTTTTTTGGCGGTGCAAACGACTTCGATTCGTACTCGTTCAAAAATGACGCTGAAAAGAAAATCCTGCCAGCAGAGTTCATGCAAAGATATAACTTGCGACTGTGCGGCAATTTTCGAAAAACGGCATATCTGTCGCGGCAAACACAATAGCCTTCAATACTCAGTAGTATTGCCTCATTGATTTCAGTCAGTACAGTATAACTGTGTTTGATAGTACAGTTTGTTGCAGTTTTAAGCTCACCAAATTCCAGAAAAAATTGAGGTAGTATCATGTTATATTGAGTCGAACCTCGGAACTAACGGCCACCTCTTCCTTAACGGTCACCTCTCTACACGGGCCATTTTTTTTTTTTGGCGAACGGTCCATACATGACAAACATTCACTCTTCTTTCAACCTCCCTACAATGGCCACTTTCTTCGATGTCCCTAAGGTGGCCGTTGTAGAGAGTTTCAACTGTGATTTGATCAAATTAAAATAATTGGAAAAATAAAGAAAAAATATCGCCGCGCAAAAACGGCGAGTTTTACTTAAAGAAAGAACGCATTACTTAGAGTGAAAGAACGCATTCACAAATTACTCTGACTATTTTACATTCAACGGAGTACTGGCTTCATTGTTGAATCTCCTTTATCACTTCCTTATTTTAAGTCCGCGGAGTTCAGTTTTGGGAACGGGCAATTTATTGAAAGAAAGGGGCCTGGAAACAATACAGTGAAGGGACAGTTGGCCAGCGGGCTTGGTCCTTTGCACATGCTCAATCGGGTTCGTTGATTTGGCGTCCATTTTGAAAGTGTCAAACGGTTTCAAACTTGCTTCTTTGGAAGTTTGGAGATCGTTCATACATAATTATGCTTCTTGATAGCATCACAGGACATCTTAAGGTTGTTAGAAATTATTATTGCACTATCAGCCTTTAGTAATTGATCATTCCTCGAGTGTAAAGCAACCCTGGACGAGATGGAGACAGAAACATCGTGTGAAGCGCAAGCATTAACACTGGAATGTTCACAACACAGACCAAGACTGTATTACTAAGGCTCTTCGACACTCAACATTTCACTGAAAGGAGCAGATAGTAAGGCAAGGTAAGTTGTCCTGGCTCGCCTTGTCTCTAACTTTTTAAGCTTAATTCCAAACTTGTTTATGACGAATTCTAATGACTGTGTCAAGTATTCAGTAACTAACATTTCAGTGAGTAATGAAACCAGCATTAACCGTTTAAAGTAAATTATAACTAAACAGGTGTATTTATTTGGCATAACCTTTCAATACTAAACAAGCAACGAGACCATGACGATGTAAAATTATGTATTTAGACTTTAGGGGTCTGAAGGAGTAGAGTTTCCTTGTTTTGTACTGGAAAATAGGAGTTTGGTCACTGGTACTGGGAATTACTAAAAGAAATGGAATTAAGAAAGAACATCTGTATAAAGTAAGCTTACATGTAATGTGATACAAACATTCTTATGAAAATTTTCACAGACTATAGAAGAACTAATCAACAGAATAGAAAAGTGTTAACAAGTGTTGAATTTACAAGCAGGTAAAGATAATCTAGTCTGGTTCTATATTTTCATGCGTCAGTTAATAAGAAACCCAAGCTTCCCAATTCCCCGGGCAGTGATAGCGAACAAAACCTCTCTGCAATCCAGGTCATAAGTAGTGAATAATTTAACAGCATGCATGTATTTTTTGAAGCAGGTCCAAAAGTTTATTTATGATTTTAAATTACGTGGGTTTTAACTTAAATGAACAGAGAATGAATAGACATTTTCATGAGTCTTTCAATGCATAGCTAATGCAGACCATGATTGAATTAGAATGTATTTTCATGTAAGTGCCAACATAGTTAACATCTTCAGAGTTTCATACCTATATCTGCACTTCAAAGAATGATTCATTTCATATATTACTATTCATTTCATTCTTTACTGTGCACTGCTCTTATGAAATTATATTATGGTTCTTGAGAGGATACAGTGCAGTACATACTGTCAGGAAATTGAATGCCTTACTTTTTGGGAAGCAAAGCACACAATCCTGTTAGAAACTAGGAGTTGTTCTATTTGCACCATAGTTGTGTCATCAGTAAATCTAAGTTTTAAGGAAAATAAAATTTAAAGAAACAAGTTGTTGCCTGTCGGGCAAGTTAAGTTCAAAATTCACGTGCTCGATAGCAAAATTCGCCAGCCCCGGGCTATCGGACACTACTTTCTTTGCACGCTGCTTACTCTCTAATAATAATAATAATAATGTACATCCAGTAGTTTTTCACAGCACTTTACAACAATATTAATGGATGATACTTTTGTAAAAATACATACATGAAAATAAAAAAAAGATATACATTGTAAAACATTGAACTCTAATAATATAATAAACCATTGTTAATAAATTTAACATTATGCTTCAGTCAGTCTCCCCATTAATCACTCAACATCAAGTAGGGTTCTAAATGTCAATATTATTGCTTTTGAGGAAAGCCTTTAACTCATACTAGTCAAACATTTTGAATCTTTAACAGTCAGATGAATCTTATTCAGTTGTGTGAATTTGTAGACATTGAACTCATTTGCTGCTCAGGTTTTGCTCTGTTATTAGTTCCCTTGTGGAAAATGCCTTATCATTTTTTCAAATTTTTAGTCTTGGTTTGTGAAAAGAGCCATGTGGGGAACCCTTTGTCAAGTAAAATTGTGCTGATTGTAGTAATTTGGCCATAAGTGCAGAAAAAAATATTATTAAGTAATAGCAGACAGTGTCCTCTGGCAACTTAGGGGGTGTTTACATGACACCGGGTTC